ATTAAACACAAATACTCTGCTATAATTTTAAAATATTCATGAATTAATTTATGCTGAGATAATTGTTTTGAAGTTCGTAAATTAGCATTAACTGCTTAAAGAATTATACTGAAATGAATAGTTTACTTTTGTTTTCTATTCAGGAATTTTTTTTTTAACCATTTGTTGGCACAGATGTAAAAGTAGGCTATGTTAAGATACTTTTATGTCTCAAAGTTCAATGGACTTATAACTTCAGTCCTTCTAATGGAATCGAATGAAGTGTTAATATAATTCATTCCTTGTAAAAATATAGTGAAAATTATTACAGAATAATTTTTTTTAAATATTTTATATTTCTCTACTGTATAATTAATTCTTTATATTCTGATTATTTCCTTGTTACATCTAATGTGTTATTTTTTAAATAATTTTTTTTAATACGTTTTGAAGGTCAAAATATTTCTAAAAGTATTTTTATTAGTAGTAATTAATTAATTATTAAACGTGATTAATTATGATAATTATATAACTAGTTTAAATGCTATAATTAAATCGATTAAATGGAAACTAAATTCATACGTAAGAATGTGAAAGCTTATTATATACGTTTTAGTATTTAAATATAAATTAAATTATATTCTTTTTTTTTCTAATTATTTATTTATTTATTTATTCTTCTCTCTCTTTCTCTATTTTCTTTTCTTTTCTTTCTTAATAGTAGATTTCGTTGTTCTATTGTTGTAAGGCCTTTATTGTCCACGTGGCATCAACTTAATTTCTGTAAATAAAAACAATATATATATTTCATATGATATTATAATTATTTAACAAATTTTTGTAAATAATTTATTATAAAATTTTAAATAATATTCTTCATTCTGATTGTACTTTTTACATTATCCTTCTGGATCACCCCTAGAGCAATATCTCAGGGCTCAACTATAGCCAAATGGATAAAACAATTGAACCTGGTAGTCGTGGGGTCACCTCAACTGAAGAAACAAAATCTAGTATTAACAACAAAAGGAATGTTCCAATGTCAGATGGATGTTAATGTTCCACATGACATAATTTGCTATTGTTTCTATCCTACAATTATCTTTAGTTTAAAAGAGTATTTGTTATTTTAAAAACATTTCCACATCAGATCAAATTTATAAAAAGTATGTTAACACGGATAACATTTCAAATGAATTCTTACATGTATGAAAATGTCTTATATCTGTTTTTTTATGTAAAGATATTTGATATAATTTCTATGCTAAATTTTTAGTTCATACTTTTTTCTTTATAGAAAAATATTTATAAGGAATAAGGATTTAATTTATTAAAATATTTTAAAGAATATAACAGAGATTTTTATTCATTTTTAGAACAATAAACAATACATGGATATGTTAATGTTTACTATGTAAATTTATGTGGTAAGTGATGCAATTGCATCACCTCTATCTTTAAGACTTTGAATTTTCTTAAATTCTTATTTAAAATTTTATATTTATTTAAAAATATTTGTCTATTTTTATTTATTTATTTTTTTTGTATTAAATTATATTTTCAATCTTTTAAATTTTGAAAATAAGAAATGTTTACAAGGAAATATGTGAAGGACATAAAAATAACTGCTGATAAAATATATTTTCCTTGTAAAATTGTTTGATAGTTTCTCTTGAATAATTATTAATGATTTCATATATATATATATATAAAGGTAATAAATAATTTTAATTGAATAAACATTTATTTACTTCTCTGAAAATAATTTATTATTAATTTTATCATCTAATAAATAAGTGTATTTAAACAATAAAGAGCGCTATTAATTCTTTATAAACTAAATCATTTAAGTCCTTAATTATTCTTAATAATTTACTTCAAAGATATACATTTGTAAGTTTTTTTTAGTATTGTATATAATAGAAAAAAATTATAGAGATTTTGATACTAGATCCTGCTCTACGGGAGTCGTCGTTTATTTTTGCATGTTCATCACACCACGTGATTTCCTATACATGTTAAATAGAATTGCGACAAACTATCCGAATTCAGAAAGAATAAAGTTGTCCTACTTTTTGTTCGATATCCGGAATCGAGGGAAAGTATGAAAATAGGAAAAATATTCTAAAAATAGATATAATACAACGTACATATCATTAATTCTTCTCGTTCTGAGCATCAATAACAACTAAAAACTCATATCTTCTACTACTAATAATATATAAATATATAGTATTTAATTTTATATAATTATATATACATTTTTTTTTAAATGACTGACCTTAAGAAGAAGGATTTCTTTAGTCTCTAGTGATCAATTTACATTCTTCAGATGAAAATGTTCCCTCGGAAATCTATTAAATTTAATATAAATTTATGGTTTATAATAACTTTAATACGATTTTTTACAGTTAAATAAGTTAATAAAGATATAAATAATGTCAGAATATAATTTATTATCTTTCAGAAAGAACATTTAATAGTAAAATAAACACCGCTTTCACCAGGAAATTAAAAACATTTTCATACATCTACTATGAATGATAGTATATACCTTTCTACTATAATAATCAAACACTTTTTAATGCTAAATCATTATTAATAAAATCTGAATTTTGACGAATATTTAAATTCCTTTCGTAAAATATACAAATTAAAATGCTTCAAGTTGTCAATTTACAATGCTTAAGAATAATTTCAATTATAGACTATTAGACACAAAGATTAAAATTAAAATAAGATATTAAATTTATATACATTGTAGTACAGTACATACCGAAATCAGCAATAGCTCTTCCATGCCCATGACATGTATTGATTATAATCATCCATTGCTTCAACGTAGAAATGTTTCCTCCTACTAACACATTTCAAAACTCGCGTTGGTACTTACTTGCTTGACGTCACCGGATATCAAGCGTGACTATATAATAATACGCATGCGTCAAAGACTAAAACCCTTTAATAAAATATAAAAATAAAAAATCTTCTTGGTTGAATACTTCTGAGGATTTTAATTTAAAAAATTAAATTTTGTGACAAAAAAAAAGATTCCAAAATTATTTAACAAATAGTTTTTTTTTAGATGAAGATAATTAAGTTGTTTTACTTGAAATTAATTCGCTCCATTAAATCGAATTATAAAAGAAAAACACTACAAGAAAACTTTTCTTGTTCCTCCATGAATTCTATATGATTAGTTTTTAAATAATTGGATATTAGTGACTATAACAATCATAAATATAGAAATTTAGTTAATTTTCCTTTTATTTATGGAAAAAAAAACACAGTGAATAAATAAGTAAACCTTGAGTTTTAACAAAATCCTGCTTTTTAGAAATATCGAAATGTACAATGGACGAAGCTTTTCCTGATAAATCGTCCAAAGGACACGAACGTATCTCGTGTAAGGACACAATATTATATGGTTTAGATTTTGAAATAGGTGTTTGTATTTATATTGGTAGGGAATGGGAAACATATTTTGAGAAAATAATACTGTAGCTGAAATAGTTAATTGCATTAGTTTCCTGTTTGACTATTGTTGAAGATTTCCTCCTAAAATCTCTTTTGTTGATGTTGACGTTTCAATATGAAAGGATTAAGTTTGACATTAGAAACAATAATCGAGATTTTACATAGTAAATATCTATCATTTTCAGTGTAAACAATTCTTCGTCTTAATGGTTTTTACACTATTTTTTTTAGATAAAATTGTAATGCATGTGTTTTCCTTTTTTCTTTTATTTGTACAGAGTTCCGAATCTGACTCATAATAAAACCTTCTGCATTATAATTTTTAGAATGCTCGATTTAATACTGAATATAACATTGCACGAAATTTGTTGCAAGTAAATAATTGAATGATACAGATCATATTTATAAGATATAACGCTTTTGAATTATTGTATATCTCACTAAATTACAAAGCACAGATTCAGGACTCTATATCTATAAAACAAAAGGGACAACAGAGTAATAAATGCATTAATTATTTATTGTGACGATATCATAATAAATAATTGCTCGTATTTTAAAACAATGTATACATTAATATGGAAAAAAAACTCTAAAAAATTTAAAGAATGAAAATTACAGCAATTACACTAGTGCATTACATAATTAAGCCTCAAATTTAACTCAATTCTCAGAGAAAAATTTAAAAAGAAATTCATTATATAGTTACTAAGTGGCACATTTAAAACGAAGAATAAACTTAATAGGAAATTTAGTGAGGTAAAAAAAAATAACGGATGATTTAAAAATAATAATAAATAATACCTAATAATTATATTATCCTTGATAAAAGGAGATCCATGATTGCTCACCTTTTCTTTTTTTATGTCCTTGACAGCGTATAAATTGTCTTTAACATCTGATATACGTTGAACAATAATGAAGTTATCAATGACAGTATTAAATAAGTCAATTATAATACAATCTAAAAATAACTTGTCAATTAGATATGTTAATTGTACTTTTATTATATATTACTTACGTTGATAACAGATTAAAAAAAGGCATTTATTTGTACGTTCTAAATGCAAAAATCTATATAATTAAACATAATTTACAGATTAATGTCTTAATTAATTATATTATATTTCAAATAGGTAATTCTAGTTTATAAATAAATTGATAATGAATTATTTAATTACTAAATAAAAATAGATTATGGAATAATTATAATATAATCAAAGAGAAAAATTGTAATTGTATTTATAGTAAAATTTAATGTCTCATTAAATTCAAATCCTGTTATAGGAATATAATTTTTTTTAAATTAATATAATGGAGAGCATAAAATTATAATTTACTACTAAAAGTCTGAGATTGTTTGTTTGGTTGTAATTAAATACAGTAAAAAACTGTGCAAAATACAGCCATATTTTTAAGAATTTATCACACCAAATGAGAATAAAAACAAAATAAAACAAGTGAATAATTATCGAGTTATCTCCGTGCTTTCGCTTTTAAAAGTCGCCCATTAACGTTTTATAACTATAATTAAATCATCCTATTGGGTTAAAATTTATTGGGCTACAATTTGAAATAATTGTAGACTCCATTGTCATCCGTCTGTCTGTCTTTCCTTAATCTCGAGAACGGAGTTAGATAGATGAAATCCAAGACCAGATATTGAAACCTTAGGGTAGGAGGCCTCAATTAACTGTATATAAACTTTCTATAAAAACCGAAAGTCATGTTATTTCAATTCAAAAATTTTCCCCTAAAAGACTCTAGATGACCGGCACGGCTTTCACCAGGAAATTAAAAACATTTTCATACATCTACTATGAATGATAGTATATACCTTTCTACTATAATAATCAAACACTTTTTAATGCTAAATCATTATTAATAAAATCTGAATTTTGACGAATATTTAAATTCCTTTCGTAAAATATACAAATTAAAATGCTTCAAGTTGTCAATTTACAATGCTTAAGAATAATTTCAATTATAGACTATTAGACACAAAGATTAAAATTAAAATAAGATATTAAATTTATATACATTGTAGTACAGTACATACCGAAATCAGCAATAGCTCTTCCATGCCCATGACATGTATTGATTATAATCATCCATTGCTTCAACGTAGAAATGTTTCCTCCTACTAACACATTTCAAAACTCGCGTTGGTACTTACTTGCTTGACGTCACCGGATATCAAGCGTGACTATATAATAATACGCATGCGTCAAAGACTAAAACCCTTTAATAAAATATAAAAATAAAAAATCTTCTTGGTTGAATACTTCTGAGGATTTTAATTTAAAAAATTAAATTTTGTGACAAAAAAAAAGATTCCAAAATTATTTAACAAATAGTTTTTTTTTAGATGAAGATAATTAAGTTGTTTTACTTGAAATTAATTCGCTCCATTAAATCGAATTATAAAAGAAAAACACTACAAGAAAACTTTTCTTGTTCCTCCATGAATTCTATATGATTAGTTTTTAAATAATTGGATATTAGTGACTATAACAATCATAAATATAGAAATTTAGTTAATTTTCCTTTTATTTATGGAAAAAAAAAACACAGTGAATAAATAAGTAAACCTTGAGTTTTAACAAAATCCTGCTTTTTAGAAATATCGAAATGTACAATGGACGAAGCTTTTCCTGATAAATCGTCCAAAGGACACGAACGTATCTCGTGTAAGGACACAATATTATATGGTTTAGATTTTGAAATAGGTGTTTGTATTTATATTGGTAGGGAATGGGAAACATATTTTGAGAAAATAATACTGTAGCTGAAATAGTTAATTGCATTAGTTTCCTGTTTGACTATTGTTGAAGATTTCCTCCTAAAATCTCTTTTGTTGATGTTGACGTTTCAATATGAAAGGATTAAGTTTGACATTAGAAACAATAATCGAGATTTTACATAGTAAATATCTATCATTTTCAGTGTAAACAATTCTTCGTCTTAATGGTTTTTACACTATTTTTTTTAGATAAAATTGTAATGCATGTGTTTTCCTTTTTTCTTTTATTTGTACAGAGTTCCGAATCTGACTCATAATAAAACCTTCTGCATTATAATTTTTAGAATGCTCGATTTAATACTGAATATAACATTGCACGAAATTTGTTGCAAGTAAATAATTGAATGATACAGATCATATTTATAAGATATAACGCTTTTGAATTATTGTATATCTCACTAAATTACAAAGCACAGATTCAGGACTCTATATCTATAAAACAAAAGGGACAACAGAGTAATAAATGCATTAATTATTTATTGTGACGATATCATAATAAATAATTGCTCGTATTTTAAAACAATGTATACATTAATATGGAAAAAAAACTCTAAAAAATTTAAAGAATGAAAATTACAGCAATTACACTAGTGCATTACATAATTAAGCCTCAAATTTAACTCAATTCTCAGAGAAAAATTTAAAAAGAAATTCATTATATAGTTACTAAGTGGCACATTTAAAACGAAGAATAAACTTAATAGGAAATTTAGTGAGGTAAAAAAAAATAACGGATGATTTAAAAATAATAATAAATAATACCTAATAATTATATTATCCTTGATAAAAGGAGATCCATGATTGCTCACCTTTTCTTTTTTTATGTCCTTGACAGCGTATAAATTGTCTTTAACATCTGATATACGTTGAACAATAATGAAGTTATCAATGACAGTATTAAATAAGTCAATTATAATACAATCTAAAAATAACTTGTCAATTAGATATGTTAATTGTACTTTTATTATATATTACTTACGTTGATAACAGATTAAAAAAAGGCATTTATTTGTACGTTCTAAATGCAAAAATCTATATAATTAAACATAATTTACAGATTAATGTCTTAATTAATTATATTATATTTCAAATAGGTAATTCTAGTTTATAAATAAATTGATAATGAATTATTTAATTACTAAATAAAAATAGATTATGGAATAATTATAATATAATCAAAGAGAAAAATTGTAATTGTATTTATAGTAAAATTTAATGTCTCATTAAATTCAAATCCTGTTATAGGAATATAATTTTTTTTAAATTAATATAATGAANTGCTATAATTTTAAAATATTCATTAATTAATTTATGCTGAGATAATTGTTTTGAAGTTCGTAAATTAGCATTAACTGCTTAAAGAATTATACTGAAATGAATAGTTTACTTTTGTTTTCTATTCAGGAATTTTTTTTTTAACCATTTGTTGGCACAGATGTAAAAGTAGGCTATGTTAAGATACTTTTATGTCTCAAAGTTCAATGGACTTATAACTTCAGTCCTTCTAATGGAATCGAATGAAGTGTTAATATAATTCATTCCTTGTAAAAATATAGTGAAAATTATTACTCTCAGGCAGTGTTTTTCAACCTGTGGGTCGCGACCCCCCTGAAGGTCACGAAGCCTAATACGGGAGTCGCGGGTAAAAGAAAAAGACACGTGTTTGTAGGTCCTACACAAGTCCTACAAAGACAAGTGTTTGTAGGTCCTACACTACAATAAAAAAAACTACAATTTTAGTGAAAAGGCTGTGCCTGTTTATTTTACAGTACAATTGGTTTTTCGATCGATATTTAGGCCTGAACAGAAAGAAACTTAAATACGTAGTTTTTAAAATCACTGACATAGTTTTAAAATGGCCCTGGGGGTTCGCCAGAATTTTTTAACTTGTAAAGGGGTCGNAATTATATTCTTTTTTTTTCTAATTATTTATTTATTTATTTATTCTTCTCTCTCTTTCTCTATTTTCTTTTCTTTTCTTTCTTAATAGTAGATTTCGTTGTTCTATTGTTGTAAGGCCTTTATTGTCCACGTGGCATCAACTTAATTTCTGTAAATAAAAACAATATATATATTTCATATGATATTATAATTATTTAACAAATTTTTGTAAATAATTTATTATAAAATTTTAAATAATATTCTTCATTCTGATTGTACTTTTTACATTATCCTTCTGGATCACCCCTAGAGCAATATCTCAGGGCTCAACTATAGCCAAATGGATAAAACAATTGAACCTGGTAGTTGTGGATTCTGCCTCATCAATAGACTGGTGGCGTGGAGTTTTTGGGCATTTTTTAAATGAATGTAACACTAAACAGAGTCTAGTTTCCCATAAAAGCCCTCCTGGGAGGTACTGTACCCTACTCTTTGGCAGATGGCTCATGTACAGAAATGGCCCTAGGAAAAATCTACTTCTGAGGCCCATGAAAAGAACGATGAAGAATGAGGGTAGATTTATTTAGATCTACAATAGTATAAATACTTTTAATATAGAAAACGAATAGTAGAATGAAATTTGGAAAATGAAATTTTAAAGTCTAATAACTTTTTATTATCGAAGTAGTATTAAGTTCTAGGATTAACAGTATCTTATTAATTAGTTATTATCTAACTACACAAACTATAATCGTATTAGAAAGATATTAGTAAAATTTAATCAACATTTATTTTAAAAAATTAAAGATTAAAGAAAGCTGATAAATTAGTAATAAAATTATTTTTTAAAGTAGAAATTAATTTGTAAACTCTAATTTCGCCTTTAATTAATTTTTTTCTTCGCTGATTTTTCATTAATTAAGCGAGATGGGGATTAAAAATTTCATTCAAGAACACTGGGTATAGTTTATTGCATATAAGGGCTGGGCATATATCAAATGTGCCGATCAAGAAAATATTTTGTATTTTATTTGTCACAGTTGCAAGCAGTGAAGTTCATTGTAAACTTTCGAAGATATTTTCCTATGTTTTCCTGGTATTTACTTTTTTTGCCATTTTCTATTAATTGAGATGAGGAATCCAAATACCTAGGGGTAAAAAATAAAAACAGCATCAGAAAATAGGTACGAAAAACGAACGAAACACATTGGATCGTCTCTCCGTACCAGGCCAGTGTAAGGATCGTGTTTCCCATAACCGGCAGGTACAATAATATCCTCTTTTGTGGAAACAAGTGCAAAGTTCACCTGTCCGCAGTCTATTAGGTATGCATCTTCCGTGCCTAACGA